CTTTTGGCAAAATGAGGAAAGCGGTGTTGCGTTGTTGCACCATTAGTTCAACCTGACATGCCCACAAAAGGGGAGGAGTTTGCTTTCATCGTTTGTCCCCTCCGGGGTGTCCACAGATGAAGTAAAAGAAGATGGTTGACACAACTGCACGATCAAAGCCCCACCCCTTTGCCCGTGCAGTGACATCACATGCATGTACAAAGGGGTGGGGCTTTGATTGAATAGTTGCAACCACTTTCTTGATTCTTTTTACTCTCCCCTGAAGATCCTGCTCCTCCTCCTCCTCCTCCTCCTCCTCCTCCTCCTCCTCCTCCTCCTCCTCCTCCTCCTCCTCCTCCTCCTCCTCCTCCTCCTCCTCCTCCTCCTCCTCCTCCTCCTCCTCCTCCTCCTCCTCCTCCTCCTCCTCCTCCTCCTCCTCCTCCTCCTCCTCCTCTATTAAATGCATGCCACCTGACTCTCAACAACTCTGGCAGCCCACAACAATCAAATAAAGAAATTATGATGCCCTTGTGCTCCCCCTGGATCCCTCCAGCAAATGGTTCTGTAGTGAACGAAGGATCAACTTTTCTTTTCTCACTCCGATGCCAATAAAAATCACCTCCCCCTACCCCAGCAATTAGCTAAAACTTTCTGTTGGCACCAACAGATATTTATTTTCTAAGTTGATTTACCATACTAGTAGGGAAGGGGTGATTACTTTAGGAATGCAGTCAGGGAAAGATGGCTTAGGACCTGGTTACCTACAGGACCATCTTTCTCCTTTGCTTCTGCAAATGTGATCAGTAACATCTGGATCCCAGCTGTAAAGCACACGTATGAGTTCTATGGGATGTACTTCTTGACAGCTGTACCTGCCCTGTGGAACAGCGTGCCCCAAAGTCCATAGGGCCTCCATCCTGTTGGTCTTCCGTAAAGACCTGACTCTTTCAAGAGGCCTTGGAGTAGAGAGGAGTGATGCTCCTGATGGTGGTTGGTGGTGGAGAAGACATCCATATCAGTTATCCTTCCCAACACACAACTATTCTTCTTTTGGTTATTCTTACTTGATGAAATAATCCTACGGGTAACCTGCCTAGAGCCCCTTAGTGCAGGGAGTAAGGAAGATGACCTTGACAGAGATACGCAGGATCTGTTGCATTGGCAAAAGGGGCTGAACCATTTTTTAAGTCCAGAGTAAGAAGAGAACACTCAGAAGGGGCTCAGACAGATGCCTCTGTAATTCAATGGAATATAAGGAGGAGGAGGAAGCACAGCACAATCAGACTTGCAAGATTCTGTTATTATAGCCAATCTCAGTCAAAGGAGTTTTAGCCTTCCTGTGGAGTAGTTTTCCTCTGTGGTACCTAGTGGAGCTGACACTTACAGATTGAGGCAGCATGCAGATTGACAAATAAATAAATAAACCAACATAACCGACTCGTGTACTCTAGTCTTGGTGAAGATCCCTCTCTCACTTCCAGCATTTTGGGATTTAATTTTGTACACACTCTGATCTGGTTGTTTATCGTATGATGAGCCTGGGTTAGACCTTGATGACCATTAAGTTCAAATTAGTTTACATTTGCAGCATAAACATGTCTGGATGTCATGAGTAATCAGCGCTATTGCTAGCACCACCACCTCCCACTTCTTTATCCAAGTCATATCTACAGAAACTCACCCTGGTGATGATTTGGCTTACAGCATTTTTAAAAATAGCAAAGTTACGTTCAGTAACGCTGTGAGAAGCATCCACAAGGAAGTAAACATAGAGGAAGCTCTCTTTGGTCAGTATAAGTCTTCGGCCTAAAGATGAAGCTGGAATGGAGAAGAAAGAAATTATTACTTTCCATCCTAGGCAAACAAACCTGCTTCTTCTGATACCAGATACCAATGGATGGAAAGTGGTAGCAAGGAACTGCAGGCCAGAGGTATCTATGATGTTTCAGAGGACTTCTCAGTCATAGTGCTTGTCCTCTGGAACCCCATTCAGCCCCGAGATTCATACTGCTCCCATCTTGACTCTATTTAAGTGAATCCTTAAAACGTGGCTCTTGGGTTAAAGTGGATGATGGATTCCTTGTGGGTTGTCTTGACCTATTAGATGGCTGATGGTTTCTCCAGACTTTCTTCTTTTTGGATTAGGTACATTTTGGTTTTTATTATCTTATTTGGTAGGCTGCTTGAGTTATGACAGATTGAATTATGACAGTCTATATATTTCATCAATCAATCAATCTATCAATCAAATATGCCATAACTTATTGAGGATTTTTGAGAATAGACCAAGAGCTGTATGACAAAGGACCAAAAGTTGCCCATCTCTGCCTTAAATGAACTTAAGTTTGATGAACCATTCCACTGCTGGTGATAAATTATGAAAAAATGTGTTCATTTTGGCTTCTCAAAATTTTCTAGCTCATTTGAGGATACATTGAGGACATGGGCTGACCATTGCAAGGTTGTAGCACCATTTTCAAACTTCTAAGGTTTATTCTCTCTCTTTCTCTCTCCCTGCTACTACAAATGACATATTTGTAACTATGCTGGCAGTCTACCCACCTCCCTTGGACCTCTTCCACAATAATCCAGGCCTGGCATCATTCCTAGACATCGAGGAGATAAAACGGTGATTGCCACCAAAAAGCAAACAGAGAAATTTTCATGGAATTGGCTTGTTTTTCTCTTTTCCCTTCTACAATACGAGAACCTAGGATCCTCCAAAGAAGCTGAAAGTGATTCTGATCTCAGAAAAAGATGGACAACCCAAAGGCAAAGCCATAGAATTTGCTTTCACAACATGTACAATGAAATTGACCTGATGAATAGCCCTAACATAACCATTTTGCCTAATACACGGTTTCTCAATCTTAGCCCTGGATTCTGCAAGTGCCTGTGACGCACGGCATGCTTCAGTCCCACTGAAAATCTCCCCATGGATCTGGCATTTAATTAATTAAGAACAAAACTATATCTGGTTCCTAGTCAATATTGAATGGGCCCTCTTTTAGTGCCTCCAAAATTAGATTTTAAGAGGTTGGTGAAGATCATGTTGGAACTACCATTTATAGCAGTATTTCTCAACCTTAGCAAGTTTAAGACATGAAGACTTCAGCTCCCAGAATCCCCCAGCCAGCATGCTAGCTAGGGAATTCTAGGAGTTGAAGTCCACATATCTTAAAGTTACCAAGTTTGAACTTAACTATTGCGCTGCTGGATCAGATTAATTGTCCATAATCCTACAATATTTGTTTTGGAAGTCCACTGTCAGGACGTGAGATCAATAATCCTCTTCCCATCAACAAGTATTCAGAATCAAGTATTCAGTGGTCTCCTGAACATGACCATAACATAACTAGTAGCCATTGGCAGCCTTATCCTCCACAAATTAGACCATCGCTGGTAACTTTTCCTTTTTTCAATGTGCATCGTGCATGCATGCTTTCAATGAGTATGCATGTGCCTGGGACAGTTGACAACAAAAGGGCTGCTTTGGAATTTAGCCAATGAAAGCAAGACTGGAAGATGGTCTTCAAGAGGCCTTGAACCTTTAGAAATGCTAGTATCTTTCTAGGACTGATACTATTTCAGTGTTAGCATAAGTTGGTGATGTCCTTATTTGTCCCTCCTATATTTGCAATCAGAGAGATATTACAAAATTCCAGATTCTCCAAGGCTGGTGGTGATACCAGGACTCGTGATTGTTGCTGATCCCTGAGCTGTAATCCCAAACTATCTGATAGTAATTTGTGGAGGTCATTAAGCAAGCAATGTCCAGCAAAGCTTTTGTTGTCATGACGTCACGAGCCAAACTCTATTGTTTGGTGAAATGCAACCTTGCATGGGTGTATGAAATGAAGCTGGGGACAAGAGCCAGCACTGCAAAGCTCTCAGCTAGACTTCAAGCCCACCCCCGAAACTGCCAAGCCTCCTTGCCACGTTCGCTGCCTATGAGTACAAAGAAGCAGGAGGACCCCAAACTCTTTCCCTCCCCTTCTGATGGCTACATGGATTAAGCCCCTTTTCATCCAAACGCCCTTCTGAAACTTTGCACAAATGGGTGTTTTAGTAATAGCAGAGGAAAATGTTCTTAGTCAGATCAAGGGATCACTGGAATGGTGTCAAGCCCCACATAGCTGGGCAAGATTAAGGAAGGAGGTCCTTGGTGTTCTCTGAGCTTGATGGTTTGCTTGCAGATGTTTCATTACCCAACTAGGTAACATCATCAGTGCTAGTGAGTGTGGGATTTGCTCCCTGTTTATATACAGTAGCTTGCCTGTATATTGACTAAAAAAGCTAAGAAGGAAACAAAAGAGCAGAACACATCCTCTCCAGCAGCCCACACCCAGATAAGCAGGGATTGACACCAGACAAACAAATAAGCAGAGAACAACACCCTAATCAAGGAACTACCAAGGAGAAAACCACACCCCCACCAACACTGGCAAGCCACTGTATATAAACAGGGAGTGAACCCCACCCTCACTCACACTGATGATGTTACCTAGTTGGGTAATGAAACGTCTCCAAGCAAACAACCAAGCTCAGAGAGCACCAAGGACTCCACAGTTCAACCCACAGACTCTCTCTCCTACTGGAAGGAAGAACTGCGTAGATTTCTGCAAAATCTCTTTTCATGCATATCTGGGATTAATGCAGTGTCCTAGAAACTAGAAGATTATTTTTCTACTTGCTTTCTATTGAGTCCATTAGGGAGAGCCTCTCTGAATGATTTGAAATGCTTCTTCCTGGATTTCCCACCATCCAGATTGAGTTGCCATTTATGAGATAAGCTGCTAATAGATTCACCCGCTGCTATCTCTTGATTAATTATTTTCACTCACCCTTCCATTCCTTTCCCACAATCTCTCACATTACCTATTTATTTCTAAGCTATAGGCTCAGTCTGAATAAGAAGCTTCCATGACTTTTATTTAAACACACACACACACACACACACACAGACAAATATTTCATGATTTAGAACCAATACACAAAACTTATTGGTCTTCAAACTTCATGAAGAGGTCAATGAGCTGAAGAGTTTGGGGATTCCTGCTCTAGAATCTCTCCAAATACAGGTACCAGTACAGGTAGTCCTCACTTAATGATGGTAATTGGGACTAGCCACTCCATCCCTAAGGGACCTGGTCATAAAGCGTGACATCACATGACTGTGCCAACTTACAATGGCAGTTGTAGCAGTTCCAGTTATCGTCATTAGGTGAATCCCATGTAGTTGTTAGGCGCAATGTCACAGGATCACCATTTGCAACCTCCTGCTGGCTTCCCCATTGACTTTGCTTGTCAGAAGCTGGCAGTGAAGGTCACAAATTGCGATCATGTGACTGTGGGATGCTGCAATGTCATAATTGCAAGCCAGTTGCCAAGTGCCCAGATCACAATCACATGACCGCAGGGACACTGCGACGGCTGCAACCATGAGGACTGGTCGTAAGTACCACTTGTTTAGCACCATCATAACTTCGAACGCTCGCTGAACGACTGGTCGTTAACCGAGGACTACCTGTACTAGATGTAGGTTTGGCACTTTCAGTTATACTGCGCTTCCTGGAAGACCATGCCACTTCTGCCTGGAAAAAAATGAGTTTCTGCCCCTAGCATGAACCCAGAACCTTCCTGAAAATTCCCACTACTCACAGCCAAAATAGCTATTGTCATGTTCTACTGGAACGATTGGAATTTTAGTCTTCCTTGAACACGGATAATTATCCAATTAAGATCCCAACCTCTCTCTTGTTTATGAATCCAGCTTCACCCATAATAGTTACAACTCTGGAGAAAAGAGAACTTAGACTCACGTTGAGATGTCCCAGAAGGGTCAAACTCGAAGGCGGACACTTCACTCAGAACACCTGTCAACGAGGCTCCGAATTCAGCTTTAACATCTTCAGCTCGGTCATAAGAATAGTGGGCTGTGGGGAAGAGAGAAAGTGAACATCTTCTGTTATTGCAAGAAAGATGAAGAGATTGCTGAGAGATTGCTCTGAACCATCTTTTGTACTTAATCTGACCATGGGTTTATCATCCATTTTTCCAACCTAAGAAATGAATTCATTTTTTTCTGTTAAAACAGCCACAATATTGTTATTGTCAAATACTGGAAATGCAAAATACATCTTTATCTGATTAACTGGTATTTCAATGTGTCAAGAAAAGCATTGGCTGAATAATTAGCATGATAACAAAGTGTGTTTTAAAATCCTTTAATTCAGAGTTTTTTATTAATATCTGGAGTTCATTTGTTAGCTGTGTTAACAAAGTATCTCCGAATAGCTTGCCTTCACCATGCAGGAAAAAATATTGGTATTCCTGGCAGAAATATTCAGAGTGACTGTAATTTTTTAAAAGTTCTCCTTAGTTACATATATATAAATCCCTAAGGTGTTTTGTGCTGGTTTTGCTCCCCCCCCATTTTTGTTTTCTGTATCATTTACGTTCTGGATACTTTGTTTGATTCAATACAGAAGCAATTTTTAAAAGATGGTGGTCCCAGAGGAGGGTCAAAAAAGTCAAGATGGCCACCAGACACCTATAATCAAAGTTCCATCCCCCCCTTTTTTTTACAGGGGTTGATGTGATCCCCCTGTGGGCACCTTTGATGGTGGAAAGGCCAAGACTTGGTTTTCTAACAGGAAAACTGAGTCTAATAAGTAAGAGATAGAAGATAAAAAGCGGGGATAGAACAGAATCTAAATTAGAATCCAAATTCAAGTAGAGTAAGAATCGAACTTTGTTATATCCAAATTCCATTCTTACTGTACCTGAATTTGGCTTCTATTCTATAGACAGGATTCTTCAACCTCTCTTGAGAATTCAGACAGACAGCATGGGGTGTAATTACTTGGTATAAAACCATTTTAACAAATGCTTCTGTTTGGATCTGTTATTTCAAAGGGATAACACTGGCATTCACTGAACTTGGACTAAAATATTCCAAAGTTTTCTCTTTTTTTAACAGCTAAAACTTTATTTAGCAATAATACAGCACATGCAGATATCGATAGAGCTGTATATTCATTTCCCTCTTTTAAAAGGTACATCAACAGTGCTCTGTGCTTGTTTTATTTTTTTAGTCTTATTAAAATCCTTTTATTTTATTTAAAACAAAGGTGTTTCTTCAAAAAAGATATTATCAAAAAAGATCATTACTGATGTTATACAATTATTGCTCGATGTAGCATTAGTCAAAGACACCAAGCAGCGTGTATTAAGTTGTTTTTATGATATGAAAAAGAAGTATACATTTTTGAGTTTAGTGCCAAAATCTCAGTGCAGATCTTCAGTGCAGATCTTCAGTGGTTAAGTATGATCCCTGCTAAGTTTTATAAGTTAGAAGCAGATGTGAGATATTTTAAAACCAAAGGAAGCTGAAAGAAACAGACAAAGGTTCCGTTAGAAAGAAAAACAGGAGAGAAGTTAGAAAAATTGAATCTGAAAAATGGAGGGGAAGAACACTGTGCTGGTGAAGTGTATGAATATCTGAAAGAAGAATATTTCAGAAATGGAGAAACCTGGATGACTGGACCTTTCCAGGAGTTTGTCCTCATTTGATGCCCTCCAGATAGGTTGAACTGCAAAACATGCATTGGCAGAGGATAATGGGATTTATTGTCTAGGAAATCATGAGGGCATGAGGCTGCAGATGGGCGCCTTACTAAAAGGTCAGAATTTAACAATAACAGTAACAATAGCAATAATCATAAAGACGGGTAAGAAACATAAGAACCTGAAAGGAACAAGGGAAATTGAAAAGTAAATGCATGTAGCGAATATACAAAAGGATGGAGAAGCCAGGGAAGAAGTGGTGGCACTGGAGGTCACCTAGTCCAACCTGCTGGAAGAGAGATGTCCTTGAAATGCATACCTCTACAACTTGGCTGCGTACCAGACCATTCGCTGTCCAGCATGCAGACCCGCTGGGATGATCCAATCAAGTCTAAGCCGGTCTGACACTGGAACGAGACCTGGTCACCAAGACGGTTGCCTCTCCCTGTAGCAATCGCCCCTGGGGGGATAGCAAGGGCACGGCAGTGCCCCACTGTGGAGAGAAGAAGAAAACACCAACACAGTTGTAGAGGTGAGACTGTACCAGATGATGTGGGAAGACACATGGCTGCTGTCGTACTGCTCCCAAATGCTTCTTCATTTTTTCTCATTTTTACAGCACAGCATATTCTGTGACCTGGGTGAAGGGTGGATGGACGGTGCTATCACAAAATGTGATGATGACCACCAATCTGGATTCTAAGTGGGCAATCTTTGTTTAAGTTGAACAACTGAGCTGTTTAGCATGGAAGTTTTTTAGTGTACTTCCATAACAGAGTATATGCAACAAGAGCTTTCCCTGAACCCCAGAGAAGACAAGTTGGAGCTGGGGGTGGAGGCAGCATCTTTGTGGCCAGGAAGGGACACCTATGGGAGATGGGCATATTGAAAGCCTAACAAGATTCACCTCCATCATCGCAAACAGGGGAGGTCCCGTTCCATTGGCCGTTGGGCTGGCAGTACCGCTGGGATGAGCCAAGAAGCTGGTACCCGTCAGAGCACTCAAAACTCAGGATGTCACCAATTGGGTGAGAGTTTCGCCGTGGGCTGAAAAAGCCATTTTCAAAGCTCGTCTGCGCAGGGCAGCGTATGTCTGCAAAAGAGAAGAAACCAGAACTAAAAGAGCCAAAATGTAGGCACAGAATCTGAATTAAAATGGTAAAATGAAACTAGAAGTCATGTTTCAAATGGAAGTTATATCTTGCCTTTTTTCCATGGCATTCGTTCCTCCAGCCCTGGGAGATGGGGTAGGAAGAGAGATCACCACTGGCCCAAAGTCCCTCAGGGAGCTTCTGTGGCTGAGGGTGGACTAGAACCTGGGTCTCCACACTCCTAGTCCAGCTTTTTACCCACTAGACCACATTGGCTCTTGGGCTACAAAGAAGGGACTGACCCAGAGTCACCCAGCTACCTTCCTTAGCTGAGCAGGGAGTAAAACCTGGGTCTCCCTGCTCCTAATCCAACACCTTCACCATTACCCGATATTGGCTCTTGGGTTGAGAAGGAGGGACTGGCTCAGAATCTGCCAGGACTAGAACCCAGGTCTCCACGCTCACAACCCAACACTTCTTGTACCATCTTTAAATGTCCTCACTTATGCTGGAAAATGCTACAAACGTGAAATCTCTCCTTTCTGGTTTCACAAAGGTTTCCAGTTCCTGTTCCTGCAGAACAGCTATTGTAGCGTTGCCTCGATACTGAAGATCTCCCAGATCAGGACTGCAAAAATTCAGATAGTCACTAGATGGCAGGAAAGAGTTAGGATGGTCTTCTCCTTATGTTGCCCCCAGTGGCGGCCTGGAGTCTTGCAACCTAAATCTCGTCGTCCTTGCCCTCCAAAGCAGGACATTTAAAATGCTGGGAAACTCCTAGTCTCCACTGCGAAAGGACCAGAACCAGAAGTAAATTAATCCTGTTGGGAAATCTGGTTGCAGAGTTTTAAATCTTTCCTAATTTTTAAAGAAGCCATTGTCAAATTATGTTAAATCGTTACTGTCAACCAGAGCCCAACATGCCCCACTGCTTGGAAATGTTCTCACTGTCCTTCCCATTCCAGGCATTTCGAGGGAAAAAACATAAATGTGAAGTTTGCACTCTTTTTTGAGGGGGGGGACTTTCACCACTGGCACCCTTTGGCAAACTTACTGTAAACCTACTGTATTCTGGGCAGCCTAGGAAATTGCTACAATTGCATCAGTATAAACAGGATCTGGCAAGGGGAGAAAGAAATAAAAACGCCAATGGGTATTAGGAAACGTGATGATTTTAAATTAATACGGAATGAATACTTCATTAGAGGCCTTGGCTGACAACCATTAACGCAAACAAACCAGCATCCAAGAATAAATCAAAAGCTCAAAAGTTCTAGCTGATCAAAAACAAACCCACTCCTCCTCCCTGTGGGAACCACTGAACAAACTAGAGTGCCTCTATTTATAATTTGTTAAGTGATGTGTAAACCAGGATGTCTGTTAACAAACTATAACTACAGCTAAGAGTTGCATGCAAACTACTCTCTTGCTTGTTCAAAGAAGAATAAACCAGATAGCTCGTTCCTACGGAATACTAAACAAATCATAAACTGAGGTTTCCTACAAGTTTGCTTGGTTTGTTCCTGCGAGCAGGAGAACCCAGTTTGTTCCAGATACACAGATTTCTAATTTCTCTTGGCGTGGGAATTACATGTGAATGTAGCCAATGCATTATAAGGGAAGGCTAGAAACGTGACCAGAAGGTTCTTCATTTTTAAGGAAGATAACACTGCACTACACTTGGAGGCATTGCGAAAGAGTTGGGTTACCGTATCTGGGCTGCAAAAATCCAGACAGCAAGAAAATCTGGAATGTTGCAACCCTAGTAGAGGAACCCTCAAAAGTAAACGAGAAATTGATCACACGGCTGAAATTCTTAAGATAATGGCCAATGACAGGAAGACTGTTCCCATCTTATGGATTTATTTAGAACACTGTTTCTCAACCTTGGCAACTTTAAGACCTGTGGACTTCAACTCCCAGAATTCCCCAGCC